AGTGTATGTTTTCTAAACATTGAATTTTAATTTTATAGCTATGTAGATAGCTGTTTATGCTATATACCTATTTTATAAATAAAATATTACATATATATATTTGAATTGGGGTCTCACTCTGTTGCTCAGGCTGGAGTGCAATGTCACAGACATGGCTCCTCACAGCCTCAAACACCTGGGCTCAAGTGATCCTTCTGTTTTAGCCTCTTGAGTGACTGGAACCACAGGCACAAGCAAGTATTCCCAGCTAGTTTTTACATTTTTTTTGTAGATACAAGGTCTCACTATGTTGCCCAGGCTGGTTTCAAACTCTTGGCCTCAAGTGATGCTCCTGCCTCAGCCTCCCAGCTGGGATTACAGGTGTGAATCACCATGCCAGGCTTATAGTATATATATTTAAATAGCATGCTCTCAATTGAAATAACATAAAGCACACTATCTGAGAGTTTCATATTTTGGTAACACGGTGGAACATCTCATTCTGTTATTGTCACATAATCTGCTACGTGCCCACTGTTAGTTCACATAGACATGCTCTTGCTTAGGATTGATTTTTCCTGGTAGCTCTCATTTCTGCTTTCTTGTAGTACAGAGTGACCCTGTCTCCAAATCACAAATGGGAGAGGAGGTCTGATCAGGAGACAGAAGGTTTTATACTTTCTCCATATATTCAGAATATTATGTGGCTTCTCCTGTGAGTCCCACTGAAGCCCAGGCCTGTTTGTCTTTATTGTTCTGATTTAACAGCCGCTTGAAAAGCTCAGGTTCAGAGAACATGTTTTCAGCTCTACCATGACGAATGATCTGCAGTTCACTCAAGACATCAGTTTGACAGTTGGAATCGATAGAGATACGTACCCAAGGAGAGTTCAATTATTACTGCAGGATGGAGTTACACAAGTCCTCATGAGTCTGAGGTGATCTTGTGAAATATGATCTGATTTCATTATATTTTGACAAAATCATGCAGGCCACGTAAGAGTGTCTTTGGTGTCTCTCCAGCTCAGAGATGGCCCATGCCTTCTTTCAGCTTTCGCTTTTTTTTTTTCACTTGAGGTATAATTCATATACCATAAAATCCGTCATTTTATAGTTAAAAATTTAGTGTAATTTAAAAAATATATTCACAAGGTGGGCAACCATCGCCACTATCTAATTTCAGAACATTTTCTACCCCCCAAAAGAAGGCCCATTCCCATCAGCTATCACTCTCCATTCTCCCCTCCCCCAACCCCTGGTAAAGGCTAATCTGCTTTCTTTTGTATGAATTTGACTATTCTGTACATTTCGTATGAATGGAATTATACCATACATCTGGATCCTTTCATTTAGCCTATCATTTCAAACTCTATGTTACAGCATGAATCAGGACTTCCTTCTTTTTCATTGCTGAGCAATATTACATTGTCTACATAGGCTACAGCTATGTCACGTATCCATTCATCCATTGATAAGCATTCGAGTTGCTTCCATTCTGGCCATGATCTGCCATTAAGGCTGGTCATGCGCAAGTTTTTATGTAAACATGTGTTTTATAACCAAGGGGAAATTAGGGAGTATACAGAGAAGGCTGCCCTGTGAGGGTTTGTCTGCTGCAATGATTCCTTGAGAGACTGATTCTCCTGGTGCCAAGCACTGAGGCAGAGCGCAAGGCCCTCCAAAGAGCGAGATGTCCAGGGTCAGGCAGGCTCCTGGTATCCACTCTCTCTCTCTCACTCTAATGCCAGAACATTCATCTAGTCTTGTGGTGAACATTATTGCTGGCTGCTGAGGAAGGCACTGGCTTTGGTTTAGAAGCCTGATGTTGGCTCTTCACACCTTGAACCTGTTACGTATTCTCCCTGCACCTCAGGTGTCATATCTGGGAGTTGAAGGAATAATAGCCACCTCACAGAGTTTCTGTGAGGATGAAAGATGATGCCTGTTCAAAGCTGGGACTCAGCTGAGGATAGTAATGCTATTAGCACTTGCCTTTTGCAGTAGGACAATTGAAGGACAAATGGTACAAGTCAGGGACAATGTGGCACTAAGTTCCTTAAATGACTTGGCCATTTTAAACATGTTTAAATTGCTTTTTTCATAATGATTGTATTAGTGAGCTAGGGCTGCTATAACAAAATACCACAGACCAAGTGACCTAACAGAAATTTATTGTCTAATAGTTCTAGAGGCTGGAAGACCAAGGTGTTGACAGGTTTATTTTCTCCTGAGGTCTCTTTTTTTGGCTTGCAGACGGCCACCTTACTATGTCCTCACATAGGCTTTTCTGTGGTGTCTCTTTGTGTTTTCAAATTTCTCTTCTTATAAGGTCACCAGTCAGATTGGATGAGTGCCCACCCTAGAGGCCTCATTTTAATTTAATCATCTTTTTAAAGGTCCTATCTCAAAATATTGTCACATTCTGAGGAACTGGGGGTTTAGATTTCCATATATAAATTTTGGAGGGACATGATTTGGCTAATAATGAGCATCTAGGGAGCACCTATTCTTTCTCAGATGCTGGGAGTAGGAGGAAAAGACTCGGGCCTTACTTACTAGAGTATCATTCTCTTAGGAGAGATGGGCAAACAAGCAGACATGGTAATTGTAGCACACTTTCTCCACCTACCCTGCTCTTTGTCTCACAGTTGTCTTTTCAGTCTTTGTAAATGTATCATGAGCTATACATTCAGCACTTTGACTGCCTCAGAGTCCCAGTTCAATCAGCTGAGAACGCTCCGGGTCTTCATCAGCTAAGAGGAAAGGCATTTCTCAGAACCCATTTGGAAACAAGAAATAGGTTAGCCAAGAATCCTCAGATGCACAGCCACGCAGAGGGAAAATGAAAAATTAGGTGAGATTTAAGTTTGACTTTAAGTGTCTCTTTATCTTTCTTTCTGCCAAAGTTTATGCAGTTTTCAAACATAACCAGTCAGGGACTCCCCAACGTTTCCTGCTTTCGCAGCTGCCCTAGTTCAAGTCTGTTCCGTTCCCTCCCCACACCCAACCATACCTCTTCTATGTCTTTGCTCTCAGCTTTCTAAGGCTATAGAGGCATGAAATTAAGAATAATTGAGCACCTACTGTGTGTTGGGTAACTTACGCATGTTATCTGATTTGATCCCCATAATAGTCCTATTTCCCTCAATTTGCAGATGAGGGACCTGAGCTAATAACATACCCAAGGTGACACAGTAAGTAAGTAGCATTATTTAAATGCAGGTCTTTCTAATTCCACTCTTGGCTATTTATGTGACAAACAGCCACTGGTCTTTGTGAAGGTAATGGCCATGAACCAAAAAAGCAGTTCCTGAGAGGAATTTGGATGCTTGTGACTTATTGAGTGTATGCTCTCAGGAGAAGGGACCAAGGCAAGGGAAGGCAGGAGAAGGAACTGGCAAGGATGTGCTCTCTGCTGGCCAAGTTTAGCTGGATCTGACATTTGAAGCTCAAATCACCCTATAGAATGGACTATACCTTAAGGCAAGGGACTGACCTTTTAAATCTGAGGTCAGCTGGTCACTGGCTGCAGTTTGCAGTGGGTGGAGAGATTGTGTAACCAGTCAGCCACACAAGTTGCAGACAAATCCCCAGAGAAGGTGTAGTTATAAACCAGTAGCTGCCATGTCCCAGAATGGTAATGGGGACCAGATCTGGGCACCTACAACCTCCATTTCTGACCTGAGTACGACTAAAGCACTAAAAGGAAACCCCAAGAAAAAGAATACCTTGATCCAAAAAAGTGTGTATCTTTACCTCTTCAGGTTCTATGGCAAGGTGTTTCAGGAGATATTTTCACATTGGAGGATAGGAGATGGGGCCTTTAGAATCCCCAAGTTATACCTATAGACAGTTGACCAATAATGCCATCTTAAATCTTATTACATTTATAGTTTAACAAAGTGATTTTTGTGTACATTATTCATTTGATCATCGCATCAACCTTAGGAAGTAGAAAGTAGATTTCATTAGCCTAATTCTGCAGGGAGGTGAAGTGGTTCAGTTTCAGCACTTGAATAAGATCAAGCTGGACCTTAGGATCAAATGTGCCTCCAATGTTTCATATATGATCTGGTTGATGGACACTGCAAAGGACATACTACCCTATTCTAGGGTGACCAGCCATCTTGGTTTGCCTGGGACTTTTCTGGTTCTACAACAGAAAGTCTCACGTTCAAAGAGACCCAGAACTGACTAAGGTGCAGTGCCTAAGGCCCATGATACATTTAAGACTCACAAAGGAGTTCAATTATTTTCAACAGTAAAAGGAAAATATGAATACAAATAATAATAGTGAAGCCAGCCTGGATTATGTTTATACTAACATAGTCATAAAATATAATTTTTAATGTATGTGTGTGTGTAAGAAAGAGCCATGAAGGCAAAAGTGCCTAAGTCCCACAAAGTCATAGTTCAGCTATGAGAAGCTGGATCAGTTCCTGGGAATCTAGGGCTGTGGTTACCTTAACTTTAACACCTTCACAGAAGTGACTGCTCCCGTGTGGTGGCTGCCTAAACTTGCCAGCATTTTCCCTGATATGTGATTTCCATGAATCTGGCTGCTTCTCTTCTAATTGCATGTCGGTTGCTTTAGCTGCCCCTTCTTTGGGCATTCCTCAGAGGACCCTGTGGGTTCTAACATAATGTCTCTCTTTCCCTCTTGACCATGTCCAAACACTTGTCTAACTCATCTTTTTGTGCTCAGCTCCTGGCTTGGTGGCTTGGTGTCAGGCACACTGGATGCGTTCAATACTTATTTATTGATTGAATAAATGAATTAATTGATGGCCTCATTCAACCAATTGCTTGTTACATAACACTGGGGACATTAAATGCCCTAGGCCTCATTGTCTGCATCTGTAAAATAAATGTGTTGGGAAAGCTTAGTGCTCAGGTTCTTAGGAGGCACTTGATTGTATAGTTTTTGTCAATGTCATTGAAAAGTGAGGCTTGGCCATGAAACAGTCACAGATTCTTAGAGTCATTGTTGTCTTTTTCCCCATTCCCATTGTTTTAGGTCCTTATTGGAAGACAGCATGTCCAACTTCACCTTGAGAAAATCATCTTCCCCAGGAAATGGTAATGCAGATGATGTGTTTTCCCTTACTCAGAAAACTTAAAAATCTAAGAAAAACAACTCACAGATTTTAATTTTTTAGTACCAACATTGAATGCTTAGGAACAGCAGTCAAATGTAAGGAGCATTGCTAAAGTTAGACATAAGAAAAAGCAAGAGAGCTACAGCTTTCACTTAGATAATTGCAATTCAAGGATTTTTCTAAAAAATCTATAAGAATGTATTTTATTTTTAGTGCAACCTTCTATGCTTCTGGCTCTTATGAGATGAAAGAATTAAGTTACTTATAAAATGCACCAGGACTTGCTATTATTTACTAGGTGTTATAAAAACCATCCCATGTGTGCTTCTGAGGGCGTATTTCTTATTGAGTAAAATGGCCAACCCACTACATTGGGATTGGTTTATCTCAGCCTGGTGGTTTACCTTCCCAGGAACTGGATGGGGCCTCTTGAGCGGCCTTGACAGTTTCAGTTGGCACTTGAGCATTTTTATATGTTATCTTTGGTGATGGGGTGTGGGATTTGTTCTTTCTCGCTGGTGCACCCTACTTCAAAACAATACTGGACTTGCCAGCCTAGAAGATTGGTGCTGGCCAATCAGATGTGCCTCCTGGGATTTGCAAGTTAACAAGCCCATACTCAACTCCACACTAATGCATCTTCCAATTTTTTCATGTTTTGGTTGATAGAGATGAAGAGCACCACTCAGGGGACCATGCAGAAGCAACAGGGCTTTCACGAGGTGCATAAAAGAAGAACTTTCCTGCAGGATAACAGCTGGATAAAGAAACGTCCAGAAGAAGAGAAGTAAGAGGGTGTGGAGGGTGGTGTGTAGATGGATGAGCAGAGAGAGGAGCTTTCTGTTGGGGAAGCCAATGGCCATCTGAAAAGCAAATACTTTCTTTCTGAAGTACTTTGTTACATGCTCTAATTTTTGGTAAGATTCAAAAAGCATCAATTGGTTATACCAGATTTTCAAGAAATATCCACATACACAGGAGAACATGAATTAGGACTGAGAGAGTACATGGTCGTCATTTAGAACAGACATTTGTGTTTATTTGGTAAACTTAAAAGAAAACATGATTTGCTTCTAAAAAGTAACAATTAAATCTACAATCAGGAAGTTCCTGATATATGTTGATCATGTCAGTTGAAACAAACACACATAATAGTATAATTTCACAGTTACAAATTTGATAATAATGTATCTAAAATGTCTACAGGGACAAGTGAAGTCAATAAATTCCCAACTCCTTTTAGTTCCACCTGGCTATTTACTTCTCAGTACAAGGGTGTGGGGAACGTGGTATTACTTTGTAAAGCAAAGTACTTGTCACCAACAAAGTTTTGTCTGCTCTGAGCATTGTTTCTACTAGCTGTAGGTTTAAAGGTCTGAAAACTATGACCACAGGCACATGGCCTCATTGCCAACACAGATTTATAATAGATATTTGTCCAGTCCATAATTTATTATATACTTATAATAATGTATATGCATATTTACTTGTATACTTTTTACTTATAATAAATTATGTATATATTTGAAGTTATGTTTATATTTGTATAGATTTTCTGATTTCCTTATGTATCTGATTTCCTAAAGTATCAAGCTTGATGCTAGATACTTTACATATAAAACATCACTAAATCTCACAACAAACACAAAAGGTAAGTATTATATCCTCATTCATAGAAGAGGAATCTGAGGCTCAGAGAACTTAAGTAACTTGTCCAGTGGCACACAACTATCAAATGGTAGAGTTGAGATTTTAGCATGGCCCATTGATCTTTCCATTACACAAATGATTCTCAGCCAGGGGCAGTTTTAACCCTGGGGGACATTTGGCAAGGTTGGAAGACATTTTGGTTTGTCAAAACTGGCAAGTGCTTCTGGCATTTAGTGGGTCTCTGTCAGGGGTGCTGCTAAACATTCTGTGATTCACAGAACAGCCCACAACAAAAAATCATCAGACCCAAAATTTCAATAACCCTGCAGTTGAGAAATCCTATATTATAGGATATTTATTCTAACCTATTTACAAACTGTCTATATATGGTTATTTGAGGGGCATTCCTGTATAAATAAAATATATATTTCTATTATTGAATCTCATTATTTCAAGAAGACATCAAGGTTTTTAGAGACCCATACTAACTTTTGGAGTGAGCACTATTAGACAACAATTATTTTCTTCCGTGAAACAGCATTTATTGCTTCTATAAGAATCTAATTTGGCATTCTATTTTTCTGTGGAGGTAGAGTGATGTCAAATGTAGATCACAAGTTTTGGATTGCAAATATTTACCAGATAAGTGAAGATAGAATGTATAAGACAAATTACAGTTAGTAGGGATGTTATTTTTATGCCAGGCATACCTCCCTAAAAAACTCAGGAGACCAGCTTGGATAGCATGGTCATAGCTGAATGATGGGAAACCTGACTCCCACTGGTCCAGTTCTGGGCTGCGAGTTATGGCTCTTCTTCAAGTAAGTAAGCACCTGGTGTTTGCTACTCTCTCACAAGTTTTGGGAAGGAATACTGAGGAAGATGGAAGAGTTCTCTTGGGGTCTTTGAGCATGTATATTCACTGGCATTGCTTCATCTTTACTGTTCTTCTTAATTGTCCACTACAATATTTTTATAGTTTAGTTTAAAATGGTTCCAGAGTGTTGCATAATGTTAGTGGAGCACAACTAGGAAAAATGTGGTATGTCAGGTTTAGTTGGGTTGATATGAAAAAGGTTCAGGTACTTAACTCTCTGCCTTGGTTCAAGTCCAAAGGCTCCACTGCTTGTAGTAACGTGTCTTAAAATTGCCTATACTTTCAGGTCTGCTGTTTGAAGTAAGAAAGGCATGATTTTGAGATTTTATGCTTGAAAGTCTATTGCAGGATTGACCAGTAGAAAAGACAAAGGTTTGGAATAAAAAGGTCTGGGTCCTAGACCCAACTCAGTCACTTGCAAATCTTGTGGTCTTAGGAAAGCTACAAAATTCCTAATCAATTTCCTCGTCTGTGAATTAGATATGCTAGTGTCTTCCCTGACGAATTCACAGGGATATCTTAAAGAGAAAAATTCTCATGTTTCAAAAATAGATTAAGTCTTTTGTGAATGATCAGTCTCCTTAACTATAGATACTGGTACTTGTTTTCCTACATTTTATCAAGAAAAACTGGGAAGTCCACCAACATATCCCGACAAAATGGGCTTAATTAAACTATACTTATAGAAAGCTTTTGTGTATTTGCCTTCCTGTAGAAAATGATTCTTCTAACATATATAAAGCACAAGGTCTCATGTTCCCATACTCTGATAAAAACAAAACAAAACAAAACAAAACACTCATTCATTGTCGAATCATGTGGAAACCTCATGACATAAATGATCATTTGTATAGACAAACTTGTTCCTTTTCACCATGCTCTTTCAAGTGGTGACTGGTTAAAGTAGATACATAGTTCTTGTGCCTGAAATAAAATGAATTAACCTTGCCAAAAATTGTGAGCTCTCTCCCGTCTCTCATATTTAGTGCTTAGAAAATATTGTGGTAATTTTTTATGTGACATCATTTTGTTCTTTCTCTGCAGAGATGAAAATTATGGTAGGGTGGTTCTCAACCGACACAACTCCCATGATGCCTTGGACAGGTGGGTGTTCAGACACGTTACATCCCTGGCAGAAACACAAAGATGGTAGTTTTGAGAGAAGACTTGTTTAAGTCAGCTGAATATTTGTGGCTAGCCTCAGGCTTTCTCTGATGTTCTGGGCACGTGAAGAAGAATATGATATAATCGGAGGTTTCCACAAGGAAACTGTGCTTCTCTAGAACTATGGTTTACAGGCGAAAAAGAATCAACTTTCTGTCCACTCTCCTGAGGCTGTCCTCCTGACAGGCCAGGAAAGGGCTCTCTTAGAAACATGGCCAGATAAGATATCTCTGAACCTTGGGGAAAGGAATCCTGAACTACAGAAAGAATAACCCCAGTGTTCACTTGCTTTATGGGATAGTGCATTCCTTTTTGGAACTTGGGCTTGTGGGAAAACACTAATTGATTTTCAGTGCCAAATAGACTGACCAATGCAAATCAGTAAGAAAATTCAGACAAGACTAGTATTTACAATGATGTAAATAAGTTTCAGGTTGATCAAACAAATAGATACTATTCTTATTAAAACATACTTATACTCACAGGCATATAAACAACCACACCTATCAGAAGAACCTAATTATTTATCAGACTGTAGCTTGTGTCTGTTTTGTCACCAAGAGGTACTTAATGAGGGAGTGGGATTGTCTTTCATGGTGCAGATTTTTAAAAGTTAAATAGTTACTCTGAATATGTCTTTTTTAGAAGCTTTCATTTGTAAATTTCTCTCAACACTTTTAAACCTTTTCATAATTTTGACCTGTTTTAAAGGTGCTAAGCTTACAACGCTCTACACAAAGTAGCTGCTTCATCTTCCTAATGTCATCCTTAGTTCTTCCTATTTACCATTTTGTGATCTGGCAGACTGTCCATCTAGGCCCTCTCCTTAGTCTTCTTGATTTTGAAGATCCTGGTTCTCAGCTGACCCTCCTCCCACCAACCAAGGAGGAGACTCATCATTTGAGTTCAGCCCCTAATGAAAATTGTTGCTTCCATTTTATTTGCCTTTCTCCAAAACTATTAAAGAACATGGCTACTTGTTTTGAATTGTGATAGTGAAAACAGAGTTCCATATTCTTAGTATGCATAAATGTGTTTAAGGATAACAAGAGCCTCATGCCTTCTATGCTTATTTTATATTAAATTGTATTGGTTGCCTGAACCTTTCTTCCTGGTGGCCAACATTTTGACTGAAATAGCACATCAGGCTTTTTCTCCAGCAAAAAATGGAAACAAAACAAAAAGTAAGACTTAGACATTTCCCCATTAACTTATAACTAACATTGCAGAATACATCTCCCTAAAAAAGTAGGATGGAAGGTTTTCATCCTGGTACTTGCTCAAATGAGGCTGCTTGTCCTTTTCTGCCCAGCAGAGGCTGTCTTCATTTTGATGTTCACTCAACAGCCACTTTGGAGCACCTGCTATGTGCTGGAGTTGTGCCAGGTGCTGGGAATACAAAGACACAATCATTGACTTTAAGGAGATCTCGCATTCCTGGGAAAAGATCCATACATGAAAATACTAAAATGTACTATGAAAAATGCTAGTGTAGAGGTATAAGAGGAGGGAGAGACGAACTCTGCCTGTATAACCAGAGACCTCAGCAAGGAAGTGGTCTTTGGTGTTGGCATTGCTGCCTAGATGATGAGGAGGAAGGGTCTCCTGAGTAGGCAAGCTGGCTCGTGGGCATGGGGTAGGGAAAGAAGCACTTCCGTAATAGACAACAATGTGTGTAAAGAGTTGGCATGAGCAGAGACTGAAAATAAAGGAAAATAAACAATGGATCCTCCTCATCTTAGATAACAGCTTTGTATTATCCACAACCAGGAAGTTTTTATTTTGCTGTGTACGTCTTCTGATCAATCACTTAAACATGTCAGATATGGCAGATAACACAAATGGTGTCTGTGGGATGCCAGCTGTGAGTTACTGTGCTAAGGACTGGGAGCGAAACAGAGTCCCTGCTTCACCCTAGTTGAACTTTCACCCTAGTTGAAGGTGAGGGAGGGGAGAGAATGAAAATGACCCAATATAGTGTGTCTTCTTGTGATAAACAGTAGGAAGAATATAGCCAGCTAAAGAGATGTAAAGTGTTGGTGTCTGTGGAGGGGCTGTTTTCCAGAAGGTGTCAGATGGCCCTCTAGTGCCTGTTTGCATTCGCATATTACACACAATGGTGAACCACACCAACATTTCACACTGAGGTTTCCTTAAAAGCTTGGAGAATTGTCGTGGGTCATGATGGCTCATGCCTGCAATCATTGTACTTTGAGAAGCTGAGGAGGGAGGTTCGCTGGATGTCAGGAGTTCAAGAGCAGTCTGGATGGCACAGCAAGACCCTATCTCTACAAGAAATAAAAATTAAAAAAAGATTAACCAGACGTGGTGGCATATGCTACCAGCTACTCGGGAGGTTGAGGCAGGAGAATTACTTGAGCCCAGGAGACTGAGCTATAATCACACCACTGAACTCCAGTCTGGGGCTCAGAGTGAGACCCCGTTTGGAAAAAAAAATTAAATAAAAAGTTAAAAAACTTGGAGAGGTGTATTAGGCATTTTTCTCTACTTTTTTCTTGGCTTAACTGACTTCTGTTGAAAATACATCTATTTATCTGACAAGGCCTCGCTCAAACTGTATCTCATTCCTAAAGAAAGACTTCTCTGGTTTTTACACCTGGAAATCTGCTTTCTCAACCTAGAACTTCCTGGCACTTTACCTGAACCCCTTGTATGACACTGACTACTTTCTGCCTTGGATGTATCTGATTTGTCCATCTAGCCCTGTTTGGGTAGCTTCTATGATTACTTTATTCTACACTTCCTATCATTGTCACACAGTACTTTCTCCATTGCCTTCCTCCAAATATTTGCTCAATGAAAATATTCCATTTTCATTGAGCAAATAAATCAAAGTGTAAAATTAAATCTTCAGTATCGAGTCTTAGTGTTTGTTTGTTTGTTTATTTGTTTATTTATTTATTTATTTATTTGAGTCAGGGTTTCACTCTGTCACCCAGGATGGAGTGCAGTGGCACTGATGATCACTCCCCACAGCCTCGACTTCCTGGACTCAGGCAATCCTTCTACCTCATCCTCCTGAGTAACTGGGACTGTAGACATGCACCATCACACTCTGCTAAGTTTTTGATTTTTTTTGTAGAGATGAGGTCTTGCTATGTTGCCCAGGCTGATCTCAAACTCCTGGGCAATCCTCCTGGTCCGGCCTCCAAAGTGCTGGGATTACAGGCATGAGTCACTGCTCCTGGTCATTAGTACTTATTATAATTCAATACTTTTGATCTGTGGACTTTAAATGATGCTCTGACATGCAAACACAATAAATCATGGTCTAACTCCCCAAAGAACTAGCTTTTCTTTTTTTCTTAATTTTTATTTTTTATGGCACACAGTCAAATGAGACATTAAGAGGCTTTTTTTTTTCTTGTTTGACCAGTTTGATCAAGGTATTTTCATTGCTTCCGTGACCATGCTCCCCACTATGGAGCCTCCAGTCCTCTCTTCCCTTATTTTCTGAACTCTCCCTTTTTTGCTCATCTACCTTCCTTTCCTCTCTTTACCCTCCTCTTCCTCTCCTTACTTCCTCCTGTCACTCTTCTCCTCTTCTTCTTTCCATATCTATCCCTTCTCACATCTGCCACTTTCTTCTTTTCATTTTTTCCAGTTTCCTTTTGCTTCTTTTTCTTTCTTTTTTTCCTGCCCCTCCCTTCTGTCCCTGAGTTCTTTCAACTCTGTCTTTCAACCCTGTCCTCGGTGCTGAATGTTAAGTAAAGTTGTTTGGCATTTGCCCCGTTGTACTGGCATATGGCACTGCTAAAACTCTGCAAAGAAAACATAGCTGATAACAAGGGATTGACTTTCTGTTATGTAGAAATCAACAACATAGACAAGAGTACATATTAGTTTCTAACTATATTGCATGCTATGTTGTTTGTTTTACATCTCCTTATCCCCATTTTGAATTTGTTGCATTGTAGTTAGAGATAATTGAGAAGAATCCTTTATTAGCATGGGGAATTGGGTTGCTATAATTTATTCTTTCCAAGTTAAAACCTTGGAAGATTTGGGTACTCCAAATCTGTCTTTCCTTGGTAACATGTACATTTCCTCCCTAAATATGTCAAAATTTTGCCAAGTATGTGATAGATTTTATAAACTTTTTTTTTGTAACTTATTTGATCCTTCGGTTGATTCTTGCCACAGGAAAATAAATGACAGAGATGAGCCAAAAGCTACAATTAGTCGGTATAGATCTGATGACACTCTGGACAGGTAAGGTGCTTTTGAACCATGTAAGTGGAAGCATAACATATATTAAACCCTCTTTCTTATCAAGTTATGAGATATTTAAAGTTTACCAAAATAAACTTTGAACCATTGATATTTTATTTTCAGGGACAGATAGAGGCTTTAAGAATTGAATTATCTTCCTCAAAACTCACAAAATCTTGACTAGATACTCTGTTTTCCTAAAATCCTAATAATATTAGATTAAGATGAAAAATTCTGAGAGACAATGATTTGAGTACAGGTAGGTGAGTACTGTGTGGAATCTGTTCAATTTAAAATTAGGAATATAGCTTTTTAGATTACGAATAGTCCTTGTTCCCACATTTGGTTCTTCTATCCAGATGGCAGAAAATCAACAGTCTCCATACAACTTCTTTATGGAGAGATTGTAAATTTTAATATGACAGTAGTTGTGACCCCCCTCTAGGATAAAATCATTAGCTCTTTTCTTTAGAAGGTGAAACTTCTCTTTTGGCACTGGATTCACCATATGACTTATTGAATGAGTCTCTTCTCAGAGAGAAAGGACTCATCTCTTATAGGGAAAATTGGGAAACTTTCATTCAGGTTAAAATGTAAATGCTACATTTTTAGTTTAGATTTGATAGAAATGCTTAGTAAGTGTAAGTGAAGGACAGAGTTAAGATCTTTAATAGGAGTCTAGGCATCATGGACACCCAAGGCCAGTGATAGTTGAGTTTACTTTCTGTAGCTAAAAATGTGCAGTGATTACAGGCAAAAATAGCACCTACTGGGTTTTAAGCAAATATGCTGAAACTTACAACATCTGGTAGACTCTCTATTCAGACTAGGCTTTTCTTGATTAATATATAGTAAATGTGTATACACTATTCAAAGGCTTTTGAGTCAGTCTTCCTAATAGAGGACAATCAACACTGGTATCTTAAAGAGTTGGCCTCTCTTCTTTAAATTATCAGCCTTGTCAAAAATGAGTTTGTAGAAGTTTATGTACAAGATCTTATCTCCATAGTGGTATGTAGAGAAAAGATAAGCAAAATACCTCCATCCGTCCTGACCTTGCAGACTGAGCTATTGCACAGAAGGAAGCCCTATTTCTAGGAATGTATTTTAAAATGAGACAATTAAGCTAAAGAGATGGAAAACCTGAGTTATTGGAGGCCGTGTGACTGAAAGTTGGTGTCAGGCCAGTAGAGATACAGCCTTGGCATGTTGGAAATGGACTATACATCACAGGCAATCTAGTTAGGTCATTCTCGGCCTTAGCTGCCAGTAAGAACCACTGAGGGAACTTTTAAACTTTATTGATGCCTTGATTGTACTGCCTCTTGCTCCTCATATTCTGATTTAATTAGCCTGAGATGGGACTCAGGCCCAAGCTTATAAATGAATTTTAATGGGCAGCAGCAATCAGGACCACCCATTTAGCCCAAACTCTTCATTTTATACACTAGAAAATGGGGCCAGGGACTACGTGAGTTACTTACACAGAGGTTTAGATGGGAAAAATATCCTGGTCAGCTCATTCCCATAGCAGTAAGCGTGGAAACAGGTGTGAGGAAGAAGACGCAGGGTCAGTAGAGAAAGGCAAGTCCTGTTAGCTAGAGTCAGACTTCTGCAATGCAATCCACTCCAAAATGCGAGATGTGAAACGATTTTAGGAGGAAGATGATCAAATATATCAGGTGTGTGTTTGTGCACACATTTAAGTAATAATATTTGTTTTAGTAAATATGAAAAATATGAATATCTTCATTTTAAAATATACATATGTAGGTAAAATAGGAGGAAGGTTAAGGAAATATGAGTAAATAACTGTATGTAGCATGCAGATATGGTCCAAATCCTGAAGGTGGTTTAATAACCAACTTGGAAAAAAAGAAAGCTAGATTAGGGAGGCCCCTAGTGCTCTGTTGTGAAAGTACAACTTTTCCTTTGATTCTTTTGATCAAGTTGCTAATTACATTGTCGAGCACCTCCTTTCTCCAAGACCTACACCTATGAAAGCAATCTATTTCATATTGCAAGTTGACAGAAACTTAGTTTCCAAGAGAAATATAAAATTAATCCCTGCAGCATTAATAAATTAACATATGAATTTAAATGGTAATTTAAGTTATATTACTATTGATAAACACATCCTTCTAGTAGCATGAAAGAGATTGTAAGAGGTAAAGAATAATGACTAAAGGAAGGCATGTTAACCTAATTGTGAGTTTGGGGATAATCATATCATAGAATCAGATATATGACATTGGGTCCTAGTGAAAAGACTTGGGAGATAGACTACCTACCTCCTAGTTGTTTGCCCAAAAGAAAGTAATCCAATTTCTCCTTGATGCCATTTATTTATCTATAAAATGAAAATAATAATTATGTTTCCTTTTTATTTCATTTTTGAAAATAATTATACATACCTTGTAAGAGTGTTCTGGAGAGTAGAAAAATATATGAAATGACCAGTAAAGAGTAGTAGTTAGCTATTTTTATTGTAGGCAGTATTGCCCACATAAATTTACACTGGAATTTTTTATTAACTTCATTTAATTTTAACATCAGAGCTTACCTTGAGAACATTTAGTATTAAGGTTCCATTTACTTTAGTCAGATTGCTGTTGTTTTCAGGGTACCAGAGTAACAATTTTCCAAGTTTATCTTTATCTTTTTTTTTTTTTTTTGAGTTGGAGTCTCACTCTGTCGCCCAGACTGGAGTG